TTAGTGGGCCGTGAACATTGGCCTATTGATTGACATGAGGGGAAATGAGTGAAAATGTTACGCGGAAGGGACCGAATACGTCAACTTTGTGTTTTATTCATCAATGCGTTTGAGCAGTAGACTGGCTGTCGCCCAGAATATTTCAGAATTTTCATCATCTGGCACAATAGACGCCACCAAAAGCCTCCCCCTCACCTTTATGTTAATAGTTCTCGGGAATCAAACCGCGAGATCTATCTTTCAGCGGAACTCGAAACGGAATTGTTCATATTTCCGCTCATTTGATTGGTTTCAAAAGCCGCCCCGCCGTATTAAATTGCGGTTGATCTGCGCCCCTCACATCTGGAGGAATGGAACTCTTTATCTCGTGCGCGTGTAAAACAGGGTGTCACCTTGGGCTCTCAGATCTGTCTGTAAAAGTTTCATTTTAAATGTGACAGTGCAAACGAAACGCGGGACCGCTCCAGCCTCTTCATCAGCTTTCATTTGGATAATTTGACGCGTAATCTGGACGTCGGCTTTTTTTTGTTGTTTGGTTCCAAACTTGCTGTTGTCTCAACTGTTCTGTTCGCCGTGCGCTTTGATCAGCGTCGAGTGCTACCTGGAAACCCGTCTTAACCCCCCGCCCCCCACCCCCCCATTTAGAGCTGCTTGTTACTCATATTAAGTGCGAATACCCGCACTCGAGAGTCCCTCGTCAAATCACTTCAAGGCTTTCGCGGCACCAAATTGTGCTCCGCTGTCGACTTAAAGTCTAAAGTGCCATTTTGGAAACGCGTGCATCTTTTCAAGCTTGATGCGCCGTGTAAATGGATATGACAAATTTTAATGTCAAGTAGCCAACACCACAAGTGTCTTTGTAAGCAGTCGAGACCGAAACTGCGCGCTCACTCGATAAAAGACCAAAAAGCGACATCGGTTGAATTCGCCGGTGTCAAAATACCAGTTGAGTGACTCTTAATACAGTTCATGGCAATAATAATCTGACGGCAACCCCATGCGAATGACCTGTTGCGCATTTTGGCACCCCGCAGTGGACTGTTTATCGAAAGCCTCGCCGGGAATCGAGCTGGCGGGATCGTGTCATCAAAAATAGCACCAAAGGGATGAACTCGGTCAACCGCTGATGGGTTTGTGAAGTCGTTACAACCCTGCCTTGACAATTACCGGAAAGAAAGTTTTGACAGTGGGGAAGAAAAAAAAAAATAAGCAAGAGAAGCGCCTTGCTGCTTTACAGCCGTGTTGGCTGAAGTTAGAGTGCCCGCCAGCCACTGGAGGATTATATAAAACTTGCCACTCCGTACAGAAGCTGAGCGTAAAAGCTCTCATAATATTGTGACTTGCCGACAAAGTAAAAAAAAAAAAAAATGTTAGCCTCCTGCCCGACGAGGCACTCGGCTCCTTTCGGGGTTGTTTTGTTTTTTTTTTTTTTAAAGACAGAATTTTTTAGTCGAGGCATTGAAGCCACCGGCAGTCGAGACCGAAACTGCGCGCTCACTCGATAAAAGACCAAAAAGCGACATCGGTTGAATTCGCCGGTGTCAAAATACCAGTTGAGTGACTCTTAATACAGTTCATGGCAATAATAATCTGACGGCAACCCCATGCGAATGACCTGTTGCGCATTTTGGCACCCCGCAGTGGACTGTTTATCGAAAGCCTCGCCGGGAATCGAGCTGGCGGGATCGTGTCATCAAAAATAGCACCAAAGGGATGAACTCGGTCAACCGCTGATGGGTTTGTGAAGTCGTTACAACCCTGCCTTGACAATTACCGGAAAGAAAGTTTTGACAGTGGGGAAGAAAAAAAAAAATAAGCAAGAGCAGCGCCTTGCTGCTTTACAGCCGTGTTGGCTGAAGTTAGAGTGCCCGCCAGCCACTGGAGGATTATATAAAACTTGCCACTCCGTACAGAAGCTGAGCGTAAAAGCTCTCATAATATTGTGACTTGCCGACAAAGTAAAAAAAAAAAAAAAATGTTAGCCTCCTGCCCGACGAGGCACTCGGCTCCTTTCGGGGTTGTTTTGTTTTTTTTTTTTAAAGACAGAATTTTTGAGTCGAGGCATTGAAGCCACTGTGCCGGAAGCTGAAAGAACTCGACATCCAGTTGCTGTTGCCGTACGCTGGACCTTCAGATCTCAAACGGACTTTTTCCAAGAGAGCGTTACTGTATTTTCCGCACTATAAGGCGCACCCGAAAGCGCCTTATAATCCGACGCGCCTTTTTTGATCGATCAATATTGTGATTTCCTGGACGTAGCATTTTAAATGTTCCGTAAAGCGCTTTGTGACAGCTGCGGCGGTTCTGAAAGCTCTGTATAAATAAAACCGTATTGTGTTGTATTCCCTTTAACGTAGCTCCATCTAGTGCATGTATAATGCAACTGCAGCCACTATCGTAGCTTCTCTTCAATGTGCAATGCGGTGCGCCCTATATATGAAAACAAATTTCAAATAGCCCATTCGTTGAAGCTCCGCCTCATACTCCGAAGTGCGGAAAATACGGTATCTTTTTTGAGGGGCGTATATGATGAGACATCCGTTAACATAATGGGTTTATTGTCGCTGCAAACAAAGGTGGAAAAAAAAAATGGGTGTGAATGTTACTCCATGGATGCCCTTGCATGTTCACAGTAGCACTCTGAAGATATATATCTATTTTTTTTTTTTTTACTCTTGTTATTTGAAGAGCCTGGAAGGTGTCATTCTGTCCAATTTCTCCATGAAAGGCGCCCCCCCCCGCCGACTGTCTTTCTTTGAATTCTGACACCACAAGCCTTTGAGGTTCTTCGGCCTCAGTGTGCAGTTAGCGCCGACTCTTCGGTGACCTTTCTTCAGCGCAATGGCGCTCGACAATGTTGTCATGTCCAGTGACAGGGCTTTCTTTTCTGACACCACATACATATATATATTTTTTTTTTCTCCCCAGCAGACAAGGACTCCTCCACACAAGGCAGACTTCTGTCTGACGGTCGGAACGTCCAAAGCATGTCAAAGCGCCGAGAATATCTCAACTGTCTTCTTGGCCCTCGGTTTGTCACGTCACATAAAAAGTCTCGACTAATCTGAACGCTAAGCTGAGCTAAACCGTCGCACACTTGTCTTTTTTTTTCCCCCCCTCTCGGTCTTTATTAAAAGTCATATTTTGTCCTCTCCGCATGATGTGACAGACCCGCAAACAGTCAGCATCGGTGTATTCTCGATGCGCGACTCTCCGGGCGCCCGGCCATGGACACACACAGCCGCAAAACAAACAGCAGTTTCCCCTACCTGAGTGCATTCCGACACCATTCCGTCATTGTTCCTTTCCCCATCATCCGTTTTTATAAATGATTAAAGACGGCGCGCTATGTAAAAGCACCGGAGATAATTGAAACACGCTTTAGCTTTCAGAAGCCGTTATTGCTTTGGATTTTAAATGGAGTTAAATTGAACTCGGATGGAAAAGGAAAAGTACGCACGTCACAATTTGAACAAGGCATCGCATTTTCCCCTAAAGTTTGCAACATCTCTGGAGGACTTGGCTTTTTCTTACCCGAGCGCTTGCGGAATAAGATCCACGAGATTAAGCGAAATGAAATGCCGCACCTCGCCCTTTGTCTGTTTCCGTACTTGGACGACAGAAATGAGAGGTTGGAATAAATTCACAATTGAGGAAAATACGCGGAGCAGACGTAACTGTTGCCGTATATTATCAAAAGGAATTATCGATGATCAATGTTTACACACGGACTACTTTTGCTGCAGTCGCACCATTCCGTGGAGAAATAAATTTGCGCGACGGTCGGCTAGTTAGCACGGATGCGAAACCGGCACACTTACAATGACTTTTAATCGAACGACAGGGAAGAAAATACAAACTCACGCGATCTCACAGTTTCCAGCCCAGCCAGCTAGACATTCTCATTCACCGGCGCCCACGTCACTCACCAGCCCAGGCTCCGCCTTTGAAAGCCACTCAAAAAAAAAAAAAAATCACAGCTGCTCTGGCGGAATGTGACGATAGTGACCCCAAGTGGACAGAAAAACAACCGAGCTCTTCCTGCATCTCGCCCATTGACGTCTGCGGCGCTGACATTTTGTCTTGCATATGCTAATGAACGTCACGAGCGTGGACGATCGCCGCGGAAATCGCAGCGCCCAGCCGAGCGCTCATCACACGCAGGGGGTTAAAGATCAAGCAGCCCGCCGAAATGATGAATAGTTGGCCTATCAAAGAACCGTTTGTCTCACTTGCCTGACTTGTTTAATCTCCTCTGACCTCTTTTAACCTCCGCTCAAGTTTTCGCCGTGCACGCTGGGCGGGCACTGGAGAAGTTTTTGTCAAGGACAGGATGCGCTTTAGCGCTTCACCGTGCGACATGATGCTTATGATTGTTGTATGATTTTGTTTTTATGTTATTCTGACTTTATAGCAGCTCCTCTACTTTTTGTTCTTCTACTTTCTTTCCTTTCATCACTTTGCTGCTGCAAATTGGGAATGTCTCCATTGTGAGACGAATAAAAGTTTTCTTATTATGATGATGTAACTTGCCTAAGTTCTAGCTGAGGTATTATTATGGCAAACTCCTTTTTCTTGTTGCGAATGAAAAAGTTATCCGAGGTCAACTTGTTAACTCATTCACTCCCAAAGACGTTTTTAAACGTCTTTTCAGACTTGGTCTAGAATTGAACTGGTCAGCGGTTTTGAGCAGAGAGATTATTCCTCCCGAATGGCGCGTCTGTTTTGCAACCCTCCGTTGAACTCGAAACCACCACCACCACCAGACTCGCGGGGTTGAAGATTTTTGTATTTCACAGTGGGTCAGGCCGCCTTATTCTGCCCACACAAAGCAATTGTCTCGTACACGCGGTTCAAAATTGGGAGCAATCAGACAAAAATGACTTTAAAGTGGCCACTTTCAAAAAAAAAAAAAAAATGTTTGACGTGATTTTTAAGACAGTTTTTATGCATCGACTCCGTTTATCTTCCTCCCCCCTTTTTTTTTTTTTTTTTTTAAGTGCCATGAATCATCGCGGTCAACAGCGCTGCTCCCCATAGAGGTCACCCCCCGCCCGCCCTCCCCCGCGCCTCTCTTTCCATTCGACTCGCTCCGGAGGATGCTGGGAATGTGTCGCGGGCGCAGGAAGTTCCTGGCGGCCTCCCTCGCCCTGCTCTTCATCCCGGCGCTCACTTGGCTTTACCTGTCGGTCGGCAGCTTTCAAGGTACTTCCTTCCGATCCGTTTTGGCTCGAAGTCGTCTGAAGGAGAACTTGATAAATTTGCGAGTAAATGTCATGAAAAAAAAAAGCCAAAAATGGAAAAAAGAAAAAAAAACGTGACTAAAATGGTTATTTTGCGAAGAAGTCAAAATATGGAAATGAAGTCAGAATTTTACAGATGCAAAATAGTAATTTTACAAGCTTGTCAATTTTTGATTTTTTTTTTTTTGCACTATGAATAAATTCCATCTTTTGAGGAAGTCGTAATGCATTTTTGGGAGTCATAATAGTTATTTGTGAGGAAAGTCATAATTAAAAAAAAAAAAAAAGGCTGAATATTATGAGACCAGAGTGAAATAGTTGTCACTCAATCGTTGTGCAGCTTTTTTTGTTTTGTTTTACGTTTTTTACTTCATGGGAGTCATAATAGTTATTTTGTGCGGAAAGTCATAATTAAAAAAAAATAGCCTGAATTTTATGTGACCAGAGTGCCATAGTTGTCACTCAAGCGTTGTGCAGTTTTGTTTTGTTTGTTTTTGTTTTTTTCATTTTTTTGTTTTTTTTCTTCATGGGAGTCATAATAGTTATTTTGTGCGGAAAGTCATAATTAAAAAAAAAAAATAGCCTGAATTTTATGAGACCAGAGTGAAATAGTTGTCACTCAAGCGTTGTGCAGTTTTGTTTTTTTTGTTTGTTTTTTTTTTCTTCATGGGCGTCATAATAGTTATTTTGTGAAGAAAGTCATTTAAAAAAAAAATTAAAAAATAGCCTGAATTTTATGAGACCAAAGTGAAATAGTCACTCAGTTGTTGTGCAGTCAAACAACAGCATCACTTGTGCCCCCCCCGCCAATACCTTGGGCTCTCCATGCCTTTCGGCATTAGTGTACATTTGTATGGAAATCATTGCTTGAGTCACCAGTATGGTGATTGCTTTTATCGCTCGAGGCTTCTTCCAAGCGTTTGCACCTCTCGCATGATGTCGGGCTATCTATACGATGCACCAAACAGAAATGCTGATGTCAGTGGGTGGGGGGTGGGGTGGGGGGGGGCTAATGTACACCTCGGCAAAATACATCCCCATTCGCTTGTCTTCAAGTCACTCTGGTTACTTGTTAGAAAAAGAGTACGCTGAATTCTCCTTTTTTTTTATTGGGGATGTTGTGATTTGCAGGAATGAATATTGATGCCCCCGCACTGCTTTTCACTCCGTAGCAGCGAGTTCCATTTATAAAAGAAGACTTCTCTGAAAAGCTGTCAGAGCACTTTTGACACTTTACCAAGTGTTTATCTCCCTTGGGCTTTCGAATGGTTCAACCTTACAACAAGCGCGCTTGACAGCAACTCACATACAAAAAAAAAATATATAGTGCAAAATTTGACGGAATCACACCTCCAAAGCATTGATTTGACGAGGGAAAATGTCTGCATTTCGCCTTCAGCGCCGAAGGAGCTATGGTCGAAATTCATACGATAGTCTGCAATCCAAAGGAAAGTATTCATTGTTCTGCTAGAAAAGAGGCCGTTATTTTCTAAAATGGTTATTCCTGTCATATTCAGCCTTTTTATTTCCTAAAACAACGACCGTATTTTGCGCACGATAAGGCGCACTGACAAGCATTCCATTTTCTCAAAAAGCCGACAGCGCGCCTTATAATCCGATCTGCCTTATATTTATGATTAATATTCAGATTTCTTGGACGTCGTATTTTCTTGGACGTTGTATTTTCAACGTTCTGCGAAGCGCTTTGTCGCAGTGCTCTGTAAATACAGTTGAGTTGAGTTGAGATGTAGCCGTGGTGAACGCTCGATATACGATAAATAAAGCTGTATTGTATTGTATTCCCTTTAGCTCCATCTAGTGGATGCGTAGCGCAACCGCAGCCAGTATTGTGTGCTTCTATTCTAATGCGCCTTATAATGCGGTGGTCCCGAAATATATTCCGATGCTGATTGCCTTTTTTTGGGGGGGTCAGGTTTTTGAGCTATTTTTTTTTTTTTTTTTACGTTTGACGAATTATGGCTAGCACAATCCAAACGTTACCACCCTCTTGGTTTTCGGTTCTCGCTGAGGCAATTCATTCATTCTTGATTCCAAGAGAGCCTTCACACCACCTGGTGCTCGGGGCCCCTCATGACAATGAAATATGCACCAATGGATGGATGATGGCATCATTCGTTTTTGTTTTTTTCCATTTCTTCTTGTGCGAGAAAATTCATTCCGAATGTGGAGAAATGGAATGCCCGACAAGGCTCGAGGCGCTTCGCGCTACGCAGTGGGGAAGGGGACTGCTTGTTGATTGTCGTCAAGGAACTTTTGTGACAGACAGGACACGCTTGACATATCAGACTTGCAGATCCATGTTTTTTTTTTTTTGTTGTTGTTTTTTGTGGTCTGCTGAAATCCCGAAAAGCCAATTACAGAAGTCAACGCGCCATATTGTGAAAAGCTGTTCCGGGTGACTGCTGTGGCCTCAGTCGGTGTTTTAAATTTTCACTTACATGTCCCGCAAGGAAAGATGGAATGGCCGAAAATGACAATGATGACATAGAATAAAAAAAAATATATATATATATATTAACTCGGTAGACTGTGTGTTAATGAACCACCGAAGCCTATCGAAAGTTGATTACCTCGCGTCGACGACGCAGGCCGAGGCAAGTCCTCCAAAGCCATTTCATGACTGCGCCTCGCCGGATTGAAATATTATTAATGAAGATTCAAATAACACATTTTTTTTTTTCCTCCCGCTCAGGTTTCCCCTTCAACTTGAGAATCTGCAAATATCGCTCCATTCATGCAGTCATTCGCCCAGGCCTGCAAACTAATTATTCGATTGAGTTCAAATGTCTTGAGTTGTAAAAAAGGGACCTGGCTACGGGTCAGCTCGAGGTAAAGGCGTCAATGTGCCAATTAGGACCATTGTGCTCGCAACAGCGCGCACGTACGCTTCTCTCCCTCGCGCACCAACCCCGTGCACCGTTCCTCTGTCTCACACCATTATTTTTTATTTTTTTTTTCCCCCCCCTTTAGTTTCTCTCTGTTGTTTATTCGTCTTGCAGAGTTAGAGGGATTGCGTCTCCCCGGGGCTTCCTATGTGCTTTGTCTGGATGAGCGACCGCATCAAACTTGCAGATAAAAAGTTGCGCAGATGGAGAGGACAATAACGTGCACCTGCCCTGCCTCCCCCCTCCAATCCCTCTCCATGACCCCCCCGGTCGGGTTATAAAATTGCATCCCATTTTAGTGAGTTTCCACAGCTTGTCACTTGCCGTTATTTTTTATTTTTTTTTTTTTTGCGACGCGTTCGTCAGCATCTGCTTGCTAAAAAAAAATGAATTTGTGGAAGTAATCCCGATATAATTACACGGCCATATTGCGCCGAGCGGCCAAATGCTTTTCCTCTTGGCAGTCGCTGGTTCGGATACCCCCCCACCTCCCACCCCCAAAAAGCCCAAAACACTTGTAGAGTTAATCCTTGAGCTGCTCAGTGAGTTGAAGTCTCATTTGTTGACATCTCGCGTCATGATTTCACATTTTGGCAGCGCTTTCTTGTTGACGGAGTGGTTTCGAGACGTCGCCTCTTTCGCTAAATCGCCACCGTCATCACAAATCTCTCAGAAGCGAGCCCGTCCGTCTTTTTCCCGCTCACACTCCAGACCCATTGTTTTAGTTCCCAACGCCGCATCGCCCGTCACCGAGACGCTTTTGGAATTCACCCGCCCGTCATTTTTAACATCGTCTGATCGCCGCGTGTTGTTATTTGCACGACTCCCCCCGAAAATAGGTCGTTTTCATGTTTACCGGCACCGCTGTAAGAATGTGATCAGTGGGCGCGCCGAGTGGGTTTGTCAGACGATCCGCGCTGTTGTGCGGATCTTGTTGCGCCGTCAAAAGAAGCGTGGGTCCGCCGTCGCCGCTGAGGAGTGAGGCGAATGCTTTGTTCGCCTCACTCACAAATCATCTTTTGTTCAGGCGTTTGTCTGAGAACGCATTCATCAGGCAGCTACGCTCATGAGTAATTAAGTTTAATTAGCAAATAGTTAATACAATCTGCACCCCCCGCCCCCTCCCCCCAGGGGATGTTTGCCATCTGAGACCGCAAACCCAGAGGCCAGTTTGAGCTAATGAAAGACGTGCTACGATTTACTTTATTGATCACATTTATGCTCCCCAATTAATCGGAAGACAAATGATTTTGGCGTGAGGCTTTTGGAACTCGACACTTAATTAAAACGCGCGAACCAGCAAAAAAGATGAAATGAAACGTTCCGGGTTGGAATTGGCAGCTTCTGGAGATCGACCTGGTATTTGGTTTCTTGGAGGAGTGCAAAAGCAACTCGGAGTCGTGCGCTGGCGTCATATACGCTCACACATTTCGGAATAATTTGCATAATTGAATGACGAGTTTTCGAATGCATTATTAGCCGCGGTTAGAGACTCCAAACGTGTTTACCCGCACCGGCAAAAAAAATAATCAAATGCAGCGCTGGAATTTGTTTTTCGAAAAATGGTTTCACGCCTCTCGTGTTTAATCCAATTAGCGGCCAAAATATGTTGACCTGGTTTGTTGTGAGTAAAAAAAAAATATTTAAACGGTATTTTTTAAATTACTTCCCCGAACTCGTTTACACGTAAGCACCCTTTGCAAACGAACCTGGCGAGGCCTCTCTTTTCCAGATGGACCATCGTATTACGAGACAATGTGGAGCCAAAGGAAGTGAAAATTGGTGTCGGTCGGTCTTTATACGCCGTCGCTGCCATGGCGGGCAGCACTAAGGAAGTTGTCTCCCTTCATAATCAAGCAAATTGTGCGCTGGATAGCTCGGGTAATGTTCATGATTATATTTACAAGGCTCATTTAAATGGTAATATCCTTTAAGACATAACGCCGTGTCGAGAAAACGGCTTCAAACCGGGCCCCGGCAGAGGAAATAAATGGACGGATGATCATCTGGTTTACATTGAAGGCGAGAACTGGTTGTAGTCGTTTGGCTTTGAAAATAAATCTTTTGTTCCTGTCGCCCTGGAACTTTTCTGACAAATCTTGTTTGGTCACAAGCTTTCGGGACCTACTTTATGCGCCCGGTGTCGACGATTGCTTATATTACGTAAGCCTCCTGAGTGAGATGTTCCGGGCAACTGGTAGGGGGTCTCAGGAATCCTCTGGAGAGGGTTATAGCGAACAGCTAGCTTGGCATCCCTCTGGTGGAACTACAGATGGTGTCCAGGGACCGGGGAGGTCTAGATTTCGATTCTTAGTCTGCTTCCCGCAGGACTCAGAGTGGAATGGAAAATTAAGTATCGGAGGTGTCCCAATTCAGGGGCGAAAATCGTTTTAGGGGCCTCAAAAAGCTGTCAGTCCATGTTAAATGGGGAAACCAAGACTTAGGCCGATTTTTGCGGGGTTTGTTACATTTACACTCTTCGCTTTTTTTTTTTTTTTTTTGTAGTGCAGAAAGAATCTTTGCAGAGGCTGTATTGTGCAGATGCATCCTGCAAAAAGACTGAATTTGAAAATGCCGGAACATTACTTCAAATAGACATCGTAATGGCAATATCGAAGTCTCATCGCTCGAAGTTTACCTCCCTTTCTATTTCAGTCGCTTCCAAATACAATCGTATCTTCCCTTGTCCTAGTTCTCCCATAATTTAATCACCGTGTCGCAAGGTGTAGCGCACGCCGCGGCGCTGCGATTTGACTGGTACAGAACATGACAGTTTCAGGTCCCCCGAAAGTTGATTTAGCGCCGCGTCATCATTGCGATGATGTGGGGCTCGCTCACGCTTTCTCCGCATAGGTTTCGACTTTGAGCATCGAGGGGGAAACGATGCTAATTAACCGGCGTGGCGTTGACGAAGAATCGCCTGAACTGAACTCCTTTTTTGAGATGGTTTTTGCGACACTAAAATGACCCGACTCATGTCGACTGGCTGATTGATTGAGACGCCAAGAACTTGTACGCTTGCTGGAAGCCGGCATGCCTTTCAAAGATAAACATTGATTCGCTGCAGAATCATGCGTGATGAAAAACGGATTATCGACTCACCGAAAGTTCACCTCCGAAAATGGCGTCATCACGTCCAAATTTCAGAGACAATGACAATGGATTCACCGAACTCATTCGGTGCACATTGTTCCATGATTCTACAAAAAAAAAAAAAATTAATTACTTATTATTGACTCACTGATCCCCTATAAAAAATTAAAGCCAAACTTACATTTCATCCAATTTTGCTCAAGAAAATCTCATTCCACGGAAGCGAAACATTCTTTGTGATGAATATGCGTCGGCTAAATTGGACAAGAGACGTGAGAACAAAATTATGCCTTTTGAATAAGTCCACAAGCGGCACGGAACATTCATTCCCTTTTCAAAGCAACGTGTGAAAGAAAATCAGTTATTTTTTCCCCATTCCATTTTTTTTTTTTTTTTTTTGCACGCGGCGGCAAGTAGCGCCACCCCCCCTACAGTACATCTGTCCATGACTCACTTGCTATCATCCTTCCGTTTGTGTGACAACAATGGAGCCTTTCACCATGGCCGTTATGACATTTAATTACAGTCAACACAGGTATCATTGATAACGTTAATGAACTGTTTCTTTTTCGATAGGCCAGCGCCGTGTGCAGGGTGTGCGTATTGAATCAATCGAATGCTTGTTATACGCCGACGAGATTGTGAGCCGTAATTAAATAACCATCATTGAAAAAAAAAAAAAAACCCCCCGGAGCAGCAGTATTTGCTGAAATATAATGTTTCCTGTTGAAAAGAGAAAGTAATCACCAGCGGTAAGCGAACATGTTTTTTTTTTTTTTTTTTTTTTGGGGGTTTTTTTTTTTTTTTTTGCCTCTGGAAATGTTTGAAATTTGAGCGCTGCCATAATAATGAATCTTTATTTACAAGGGGTGACAGTTGAATACTGATGCAGCGGATGCCCCAAAATGGAACGAAATCCATTCAGCAATGTCGGTCAACATTAATATTCTTAAAATTTCAACAACGACAACAAAATCCGATTCGGAATCTATTTTCATTCAGATTTGACTTTTTTTTTTCGTGTTATGCATACGAGTGTAGTTTGCATTATTGCCTTGTCAATTTTTTTTTTTTTGGAGCTTTCTCCATCTGACTGAGCAAGAAATACTTTGATTCCTTTTTTTTTTAATAACCATTCCTTTTTGTTTTCTTGAGGAATGCAAATGAATTGCATTGGCTCCTAGCAAGACATCTTCTGAGGTTTTTTTTTTTGGTTCTGCAGAAGAAGGTTAGCCACCTTCAGTTTCCGGCGGCCTTTATATCTTGCAGCCACAGGAGACGATAAATCACTGGGTGGAAACTAGGAAAAAAATAAAAAATAAATAAAAATCCATTATCAAGAACCAACAAGCCAGGAATTTTCATTCCGCTGATTCATTTAAAGCGGACACATAACACAGGAAAATGTCAACTTTCAAATGGAGTTTATTAGCATATTCCCCGGGTGGTGTGTTCAGGGGCCACCGTTATTTATTTAACAGCCGGAGACAAATGGGGACCGTACCATAAAATTTTCCCAACACAGATCAATACAGTCAGCTCGAAGTCCCTCGCTGTTTCGTATTATCTCAAGCGCTCCGGAGCTTTTTGTACCCGGGCGAGACATCCGAATGGAGAGACTTATTGTATTCTTTTAATGAACCTCAACCTTTAGGGGAGGTGAGGTGGGGGCTTCGATTTCAAAGATACACCGGAGCGAGAAGTTCATCCCCCTCAAAAAGCGCATTCCTCTTTGACTGTTCGGAGCCGCTCGCTTCCATTTGAACATTTCAAAGGGTGAGGAATCGCTGCTGATTTGGATTGAATACACGCCGGGTGGTCTTACCTCACCGCAGAGGAAAGGCATCTGCATGCCTCGCTCGCATCTATACTTGGATCAATGCTGCTTTTTTTTTGAAGTAAAAGGGAAATTGTCATCATGTCAAGTTTTGCCGGCACATTGGGATTGAGCGACATGAAGCTATCTGGGTGTGGAGGCTTGTGCAACACGGCGAGCGCGGAAACATCGATTTCGCTCGGTCGCTCGGCGTCTCTCACGCAAGTGAAGCCGGAGCTGGACTGAGATGTTGTGATTTCATTGATTTATCGCCCGAGCGGAACGTACTCAAGTGAAAAAAACTCGTAGGCTTGCTTTTGTTCCATTCTTCGATACCACAGGTGCCGAAGTCGCGGCCCGGGGGCCAGATCTGGCCCGCCGCCTCATTTTATGTGGCCCGCAAAAAGCAAATCAAGCATGTCAAGTTCTGTGATGCTTGCTAAAGTCCAACCCCAAATTTCAAATGATCATATGTCATCCACAATAGCAGTCATTATTATATATCAGGTCATCTCATAGAAGAACCTTCTGCCAACAGTGAAGCCCCTCCCCCTGTCGCCGTTGGAAACGCAGTCGTCCACGCCCGCCGGAGGAGCGGGCGAGCGGCAAGCGTTGGAGTCGCGGGTGCGGGCGGTGGAGGAGGAGAACCGGGCGCTGCGCCGCCAGCTCAGCCGGCCACCCAGGAGCCCCTCGTCGCGCCTTCCGTATGGCGGTCACCGTGGCAACCAAAGCAGAGCCCATTCAGAGGAAGGCACCGGTGATAACGAGGGCCAGAAAGCCGCCGCTGCTGCCGCTGCGGCGGCGAACAACTCGGACTGTGTCCAGCAGCCGGTCGTGGATAAGTGTGAGGTGAGAGGCATTTTCGACTCCTGGTTCATCGAAGATTTTGAAGCCAACAGTTTTGAGATCGGGTTTAGATTTCGGATGCTCTCATTCGTCTCATCTCTGACGTCGGGGAAAACGGATCAGACGGTCGCTATCGTGCGAGGAGAACAGCGTTGCCGTGCTGTGATCTGATAGTGCTCCCGCAGCGGCGCAGCACATTTTAGCTCAGTAGGGAGGATGACCAGACCAGAATGAAGAGCGTGTATCTCAGCACTAGCTCAATAAAAGCTCCACAGAGTTTTTGGCGAGTCCAACTGACAGGCAGAAATACAATTCCACACATCTAAGGGCGGTAGTATTTTCCCTCATACGGTGGTGCTTTATTCACACGACACAAAACGTCGAAGAGACCGAGATTGATCGATAGGACGTTTAGGCTAACGACACAACGAAAGATGAGATTCCGTTGCGTGGCCTGCCAAATGGATTTTTCTTTTTTGAACTGCCAATCAAAACTTGGAAAAGAGCGCAGCGTTGTGCAAATGATCCAAGCCCACGGTGTCACCTTAATACAAAACACGCAACGCCGGAGCTAATGTTAGCGCCAAGCGCTATGAGCAAAATGAGATTGTCTCAGGAACTGGCTGGAAAGAAGAAAAAAACCCGAGTGGTTATTAAATCAGACTAAAATGTTCCCCCATACTGTTACGGCCAATATCACAACATGTTCTTTTGCCCAGGGTGAAGTATTTTTCGAAAAAAGGGAGAAGCTGCGAGTGAGAAAATCGAAAGAGGGCAGTCTGACTCCCGCACTGCTCCAAAAGTGCTTGCGCGTGACCCCTTGCTCACTTGGAGGGTTGGCCAGGCCGCCCTGACCTTTGAGACAAAGCTCTGAGGGTGGAAAAAGAAAATGTGCAGAGTTTTGACATGTCAAGATGTCATTTGGAGTTAAAATTGGAGCCCCCGGGCGGCAGCGATGGAATAAATCCTGCAAAGTTAAGTTCAATAAAGCAAGTGACTCTTCAGCCACCACTCCGCTAAGTACGGTGAACAGTGTCACCCTTGCCTTATTATTTTTATCATCGCCCGAACAAACACACGAAACGCCTTCTGTCGGGTACGTGAGGGCCAAGAATCGCGTTAATCTCGGTCTGTAATAATCATTGAACCCGAAGCAGTCTTGCCACATGCACGGATGGGGGAGGCGCTTATGGCTCTCGTGCCCTCTTTGTTCCCAAAGACCCACCTTGCATTATTAACCTGCATATTGCCATTATTAATCTGCATATTGCTACTTTGACTGGGGGAACACTTGGGGGTAGGGGGCAGACTGCTGACAGCAATCGCATTTCATCACAAGATGTATATGTACGCGTGCATTTTACAGCGCGTAAATGAGATGAGTGTTGTTTTTACGCTTGGTGACCGGATTACAAATCAGGAGGTCTTGGGCTGCTGCTGCTGCTGCTTCACAACGTGTGTCGACGGAGTTTCATTTTTATAAGGCTGTGCTCCTTCGATTTTAATTTGGCGAGCTGAAATTTGTGATTCCCGACTGTTTTTTTTTTTTTTTTTTTTTTTGTGCGAAATGACTCATGAGGAGCATTTTTATGGCTTCCTGCGGGGCCGATCCACTTTTTTTTTTTTTTCACCAAATAGCCCATTGCTTGCCTCTGTTTCCCACTCACTTATGGACACTTAAATGTTGTAATTATTTTTTTTCCCGTGTTTCCACAGACAATCCACGTTGCCATCGTCTGCGCCGGTTACAACGCCAGCCGTGATGTGGTGACCCTGGTGAAATCCGTCCTTTTCCACCGGTAACCCTTTTTTTTTTTTTTTCTTTAACACATTCTCATCTGTTTTGTACCGAAAGTGATTGGTGATCGATTAATCCTTTTCGCCGTCGCTTGTCTACTCCTTCCTCAGAAGAAGAAGCCGAACAAGTGCAAATCTATATTGATATTATTTCGGGCCCAGGCTACTTCCTGCTCAGACACTTTGCAACCGGCACCCAAATATGGGCATGCTTCTGGATAGTTTATGACGTTTGGATGCCCGACGGAACGAAGGTGCTCTCTGTTCATGGAGTTAACCGAGGCAAGGTCGCAACAGATTGTTATTGATGCCCAGCTTTGTACGCGCTGATATGATTTAGACCTTAAAAAGGGTACGCTGACTTGACGCTAATGGGAGGTGACTTTGGCAGGATAAACGGAACTATTCTGCACTCGCAGCAGATGATGAGTTTGGAATTTGGACAGGAATGACCTTTTTTTTGGGGGGGGAGTTAATTATGGAGCGGTCACCAATAGCGCGGCTAATATTCCCGACACCCCGAGGTAATGTTGAATCAAACGAGGGCATTAAATGTTGACTCACTCTTGTTTTGCCGCTGAGTGACAAGCATTAGAGCAGACAGCACCCTGCGAGATCGGACATGTTGGCCTGTCCTCTGACAGGGCTGCAACCGAACGCATTGGAAGAGATGGGCGAGTGATTGCCAAATGCCACGGGGACGCGGGGCTGTGATTATTAGGACCTGCAGCAGTTCGCAAATAGTCTCTCCTGCCGTACTGCCTCTGTTAATAGATATGCACCACCTCCCCCCCCCCCCCAATCTGGAGTTTCTCCGCCATGTGCTTAGCAAGCGGACAAGCGCAAAGATCCAGAGCCACTTTGGCGCAATGGCCGCAGTGTGGCACCCAAGGACGGGATTTTTGTGTTTTGTGCCCGAGAGGCGGTGTTCAGGAAGTAACTCGTCCCAACCGCCATCAGTCCCGATCCGCGACTGCTCTCTTCGAAGACATTTCTCCAGTCCCAAGCCACTGAGCGCCGGCGACCATCTTTTCACGGTTTCAACAATGAGATGGACCAGTTTTAATTTTCCTTGTTTGTACTTGTTTTGTATTTCATGTCTTGATCGCTAACCAGCCCCCCCCCCCCCCTCCCCCCTAAACTTGTGCCGGATCTCTGTTGTAGATGCATCCATTCCCCGGCTCTCATTTTCGAAGTTAAGTTTCCCTAATTCTTGACCTGATTTCCATTCCCGAATACCGACTGAGTGCTTACACCCCCACCCCGACACGCGCTCAAGCCGGTGTTTGGCGAAATGCATTTAGCAGCATAAATCCCTTTAAGCTGTCTCATCTAATTTCAAAGGAGTCCCGGGACAGAAGATGCAGTTCCTCCTGGGTCAGACGTTATTGTCTCTCCTGTATAAGCTTTGGCCGTCCTGTCTGATGAATCATCTCCTTCATGGCGGTTGTGCGTCCCCGAGGCCGCGACGCACGCGCCGTCCAAACGATATTTAGATACAATCTCCGTTAATGGTCGACGGAGTTGCTTGCTCCGGAGGTTTCATGCATATCACACAGTCTTCATCAGCGGAGGCAGTTTAGCCGAGGAAGACGTGTACGGTATGCGTTCCGGCGTTCAGGTTAGCTCGTCGGTTGATTTCATGGCGGTTATCTACCCCGAGAAGCATTCTGAATTTTGCCCATTTGTGGCATGAAAATGTTCCCAAGCAACATTAGCTCACCTAACGTATGTTAGCTAAAATGCGGAATGTCCGTCAAAGTAGGACAGCGTGCGTAAGATCCCCCCCGGCCCCCTCCCTGCCGCCACCGCTCTAGTTTGACAATGCATTTAAATTTGTCATTCTGGCATATTTTCAAGTTATAGAATGCTTTGAAGTTTCTGTGAAAGTTGCGTAAAATATATTGATGCCTCAACGCACGCGCGTGTACGTGTCCACAGGCGGAACCCCCTCCATTTCCATTTCATCACCGACTCCATAGCTCAGCAAATCCTGTCGTCTCTGTTCCACACCTGGATGGTTCCTGCCGTCCGGGTCGACTTCTATGACGCCGATGAGCTGAAGGTGAGAAATCCCCGCTCCCGATTGCTTCCGTGACGCGCCGTCTTACTTCCTGTCACGGTACTTACCTGTCCCTTTTTAAGTACTTTTATGCTAGCATGCGTGATGATGCTATTCCCGCATACTAAATACCGCGGCGTGTTGGTTTTGCAGCGACGGAATGATTGCCCTGGGTGTGACGGCTATATAACTCTCTGTAAACAGTTTTATGCAAACAGCTTCTTTTGCACACAGGCAGCGGAGAGCAAGCGATGCCGCGTTTGCATTGCCGCCCGTCCGTGTCTTAGCGACAGGCAACATTGAGTCCTACACATGATGACGCTCAGTGAAACTAAAACGCGCAAATGTGTCTTCAGGGCACTTTTTTTTTCCCCCCACACTACTTGTCAGAAAGAGTATATTTCGGGAAGCAAAATGCCCCCCAAAAAGTGCCCTGTTTGAATATCCAACTTGTCCAAGTTTTAGGAAACAAAGTGAAAGCCATATTTTAAAATCGTTAGCCTCCGAGATGGAGTTTGAGTTTTGAGTCATTCAGATGGGATGTTGTCAGTTCTGCTGTTTCGCAAGAGCAGCAGATCCTCATTTAGTATGAGATAAAGTTTAAAAAAAAAAAACTAAATTTTGAGCCCATGGCTGTATGGATCACATCAGTTTTTAACTACCGTATTTTCCACACTATGAGGCACTTAATAGTTCAGTGAATGGCCTATTTTAAAACCGTTTTCATATGTAGGGCACACCGCATTATAGGGCGCATAGAATAGAAGCTACAAGAGTGGCTGGGGTTGCGTTATGCATCCACTAGATGGAGCCACACTAAAGGGAATACAATACAATACAATACAATGCAGCTTTATTTATTGCAAGCTTTCACAACCGCTGCAGCTATAACAAAGCGCTTTACAGAACATTTAAAATACAAGAAATCTGAATATTAATCCATATATAAGGTGCATCGGATTATAAGGCGTACTGTCGGGTTTTTGAGAAAATGGAATGCTTTTAGGTGCGCCTTGTAGTGCGGAAAATACAGTGCTTAATTTTGCTGACTGGGTGGTTTTGTATTTGTTGTCTTCTATCCTGCTCATAACGCAGTCTGAGGTCTCGTGGATCCCCAACAAGCATTACTCGGGAATCTACGGTCTGATGAAGCTCGTGCTCACCAAGACGCTTCCGCCGGATCTCCAAAAAGTCATCGTTTTGGACACGGACATTACGTTCGCCACCGATATCGCCGAGCTATGGGCCGTCTTCCACAAGTTCAAAGGTAAGCGCTGCAGCACTGAAGACAAAAGGCGAGCGTGTGTCACAGGGGGGGCGTCAATTCATGTGGGCGAATTTGTCGGTGAAAGTTAAGGTTGCGGGAAGTCACGTCGGCGGGCGGGGCGGCGGCCAATCACTTCAAAGATTTATCGGCGCCGCTGTCCTATAGAGCAGCGCAGCCGGCAGCGCTTTGGATCAATCTTCATTAACGGTTGACTCCAATGCACCACCAACTGCCTCCCATTCCTTGCCCAGTCTGGCTGAGCCGTTCATTCCCTTTGTTTAAAGGCTAAAATAGACACCAACTTTCATTCATGAACTTTGTACTTCAAACTTTTTACTCGAGACGCTTCATGCTATGGATGTGTGGTCAAAGCCGTTCTTCGCGGAAGATAAAGAATACATGTAAATCTATAGTGACATTATCTGTCTGTGTGTATTGCTCCACCGATTGCGTTCAAACTTCCTTTGAGAGCTGTGGCTTCAGTTTTCTCATTTTTTTGTTTTTAGCCAAACCCTCCACCTTCAATGCTGACTTGGCTCTAAAACCGCAGGAGTGCTGTATGTCGTTTATCCATCAAGTGTCAGAGAAATCCCTGCTGGTTTCCTGTAATCCTCCCCCCCGCCCACTCCCACCCACTCCCCCGCCCCCACAATTCTAATCAGCAGATATTCTAAGGTTGGGTAAGACCTCAAGAGAAATTAAAAGTACCACTCCAGACCCCATATTTCATTTTACCTTCATTCCCAGGGACCGCGGCCTCCAGAAAGTGCCGTCCGTGACCCCCTTTGCCGCTTTGACAAATTTGAAAGGCCCGCAACGGTGTGTATCAAGTAGCAAAGGGCAGGCAGGTTGAGGTCAGGTGTTTAATGTAGAGGTGTGCGGGGGCGAGGGGGGGCGGGTATTGAGCAGTGTGTTGTAATGCCTTTGAACTCATTAATTCTTCAACATCTCTCAGGAGCGCTGCGTAGCCCGAGCCCATTTCTCTTCAATAGGTGTGTTCCCGCTTCCCATTTATGAACATGATGTACAGTGCATGTACAAGTGATGTTTTTTAAGTCCAGGAGCAGCAGCAATTTTGCTCAATGTATGTAGCCGCACAGAGGGCCTGTCCTCCGAGACAAGTTTCTCCTACGGGAAACCGAATAAAAAGTCAAATCAAATCAAATCATTGTACGGAAAAAAAAAAAATTTATTAAAAATCGGAATGATGATCGCAACACTGTGAACTCCAGACCGAAGACGACATAATTCGTCAAATAGCAGCCATTTTGAAAAACACATTTCACACCTCAGGCACCTATTTGAACCCTTTCCCCATGAACGGCCTCCACTTTGCCGCATTCCCTCGCCAGAGCGTTTGTTAAAAGTTTGTCGACGCGGCTCCACGACATGCCTCGGCATCGTTCAAAAGGTCAGCGCAACGTGGCAATGCTCGTTGGAGGGGAATCAATACATTACAAGACACCAGATTGTGACCACTGGTAAAAAAAAAACAAAAAAAACCTCTTCTCATTTCCGCTCACCATTCCCGACTCACTGAAGCGTGGTGACTCACATCAGCAAAGAGCACGGAAGGAAACACATCCTGAAGAGTTGGATGGATTTTAAGCCCGCTAAATGCTTACCAAATAATCAACATGGTGCGGATGTTAAAGCTTCCGCCCTTTAAACCGAAGTTAGCAAAAGCCCCAAAATCGTGTATTCTGTCAATACTTTTCTGATTTATCGGATCACTCGGCGCGGCGTATATCAAGAGTAATTATTTTTTTTCCCCCTCCAATAACATTAAACACACTCAATGCGAACGATCCCCAAATTCTCGTCCGTGGTTGGCCGATTGTGACGTGGATCGAAACGATCGCTAAGTCGGACATGACCTAAAATTGCTGCTGCTCCTGGACTTGAAAAAAAAAAAGGGAGGATCAAGATAAAATCGTGTTTTGCCATCACCGCGCTGCCCAGGAACAATGTTGAAGTGAGGTGAGGAGCTTCCTCTGTCCAAAGTCACGGTTTGCCATTATTTGCAATTATTTTGCATTGCTCCCATCAAAAGCAAATTTTCTCAACCATGACGTCATCCGTCATGAAAACAACAGAACCGATTCCAGGTGATGCTTTGGGGACCGTTACCCAGCCAGCCAGTTACCTGCCCTTGAATTAGTGGCACTTAGGTCTTATTGCGCTTCCCTGAGTGTGGGACAAATCGTTTCGCTCTAATTCGCCACTTCAACCCTCCCCCCGTGCGTCAAAAAGGCTCTTTCGCTGATCAGTTGGTGTCCAAGGACGCCGGGACAAAGACGATGTCCCGTTGCCAATCAATTGCCTCGCCCCTGTGCCAGCTCGCCATTCAACGCCGCCGTTTTGCCACACGTTGTTTGTCTCCGTGGCGTCGGTTCCGATAAAAATCCGCTTTGTGGCGTCACACTTCTTCCACGCGCTCCTCATTTCCCCACAACATCCCTCTCCCTTTTGCTCGGCCCACTTTGCTGCATTGCAGTCATACGAGTGAATATTCAACATTTATTAGCTCCCGACTCCCATCTGTTCATCTTTTGGCCGGGACTGTTTGAAGTGCGACAAAGAAACGCCGCGGAAACCTTGCCAGGGCGATTGTGGCATAATACGGAGCACCGCGCTCTCGACACAACTTGTTGTTTACCGCCAGTCAGTAGCCAGGAGCCTTTTCTCCGTCACAAGCTGCAAATGACTCCCGACACCCTCCAAAAGGGTTTTGTCGTAGGGTCAGGATATCCACAAGGTGGCGCCACCATCACGCCTGTAGCACGCACGCAATACTGAGCCCATGTTACATAAATGAGTCTCTTCATGAGCGTATTTTTCGGAAACTTCTAGAGGCGCGTTTCCAACGTGGGACAATATCGTTGCGGTCTGCGGGTGCGAGAGCTCAACAAAGTTCCTTTTTTAAAAAAAATGTAGTTTGCATTCTCGTCCGCATCCAACATCCGCTGAGCTTTTCTGGCGGCATATTTCCGACGACGCAACCAGCCGTTGCTTTTGGACTGATGTTTTCGACCGGCCTGAACCTAGCATGTTGGCGCTAAAGCTATCAAATAGATATACGGTACAGTTTGCTTCACATTACAGTTCCATCACTTTAACAGTTACTCAAGCCCTGTTTTAGCGGCCATTTTAACAAGTGTCACGTCAGTCACCACCTCCATTGTCGATAACCGAAGATTTGACTGCCCAACCCCACCCCCATTTAATTTTCGACATGCATATCATCGTATGTTCAGCTACGTATTGACTGGGATGCCTCAGGGCCCCGAAATTTTTTGGAGTTGATTTACAAAATCAATAGCATCCAAACCGTAAAACTGTGCATTTTCCTGCTCAGAAGAATTAAAATATAAAAACGCTGATTGTCTGTTGCCGACAGGCGAGCACTTTTGTTTGAATCCAAACGCCAGCGTGAGCAATTTGCTTCGGTGGCATTTCTTTCTTTTGATGAATTTATTTCAAAAAGAGGCATTTGATTGTGTCCTTGCTTGCTTTTTTTTTTTTGTTTGTTTGTTTGTTTGTTTTTTTTTTTGGTCTGCCAAGTATTTTTTTTTTCCCTTTAAAATTTGACAGCCAACAAAGACTGCCGGCACCGCTGTTTTTCCCAATTAAAAGTGTTTAATTGTGTTCTAATTTAACAAGGTCACTGTGTTAATGTCCCACCCACTCCCCCCGCCCCACCCCCATTTCAATCCCTTCTGTCGTGTTTTCCTCTTGATTTTGCAACTCTCACATGGTTGCCTTGAAGAACGGCGGGGAAGCTGAGCGATTTAAAAGGCTCAGTAATTAACCGTTGGGTACCAAGAAGGAATGAAGGCACAAATAAATGTGCACAATAGCTACCTGCCCTCACACTAAACGTGATTGACGACAAGCCAGTTCACATTTGCCGTCGACATTAAAAACGCAGCCGTGCTTGTTTTTTTTTTTGGTTTTTTTTTTACATTCTATCCTTTTATATTAGCTCAAGTTCAACAAGGTTTGTCATGTAAATGTTCTCTTAACAGCATCTTTTGTGAACGAGTAATGCGGAAATATCTTGGTGCCAACTTTGTTTTTTTTTCAGGGTTGACCGTCCCAAATCAAATTAAGAACTGTTTAGATCATTTGTTTTTGTTTGTTTTTTTAATGGCCGTTTCCATTTTTTTCATGAGGTGAACTCAAAGGTTCCATTTTATTTGTGTTTAATTTGTTATTTTGTCCTTTTCACATAAAATAGGTTGAACCGTTTAATTAATTTGAAAAAAAACTTAAAATTGAGTTTGGACTACCCAAATTTAATCCTGAATATTTTAACACTGCTTGAATAAACACCGGGACTATTTGGGGAGCGGCTCAATTTCAAAAGGACCAACATAGTTTGATTGAATTCCTTTTTTTTTTTTTTTGGCTTCTAATCATTGCTCTCAGTCATCACGGCTGCCTACTTAAACAATCTCCTGATTCTCCTCCTTGGGGGTTATTGAAGCTTCCTCCCTCTCCATCCGCCGCCTGCCATCGGTCTCCTTGACCTTTACATCCGTCTGACTTGTGCCGTGCAAATCTTTCACCCTTAAGCCCACATACGTCTCATCCTTCCCTTTCTTTGGCTTTAACAGCTGGATTTTTTTTTTCCCTCTTTATGAAGTTCCGCCTCCTTCCTCCCTTTCACCCTCCTTCCGCTGTTTGAACCACCCGTAGCTCTAAATCTTTCGATTCATGTGAGCTAATTATGGAACTCCCCAAGTGACTTTTGTCATGGCGGTGTCGGGGTTGGCAGTTAAGCCCCCCCGCCCCCCACATACCCTCACACCCCCACCCACCTCCTCAGTTTGCCGTTGACTCAGACATAAAAGCCAGCTTTATGAGGGGATTAAGGTGCCCCTGAAGTCTTGGCCGCTGATCCTTTCCAACCGTTTTCTGTATGCAGACAATATGAAATGTGCTTTATAAAAAAAAAAAAAAAAAAATTTAAAGTCTCCCCCGATCTTCTCTAAGAAAAATACATTGTTGTATGTTCTGAACGTATTGCAAAATTTTTAAAAAAGTACTCTGATGATGAGCAAAATTGATTTGTGGACCAAGGAACTATGTTGAAGTGGGGTTTAAGACGTGGTGCTTCGGCGTCAACATGTGGCATCTTGGTGCCGAGGTACTATGTTGAAATTAAGCGAGGAGCTTCGTGTAGCGGTGCCAAGAAACTAGGTTTCGAGTGGGTTGACACGTGAGGGCGCGTCATGTCGTGCTTTGTTGCAATCACGCGGCTGGTGTCTTGGGAGTACTTTGTTGAGATGAGTTGCGGTTATTCACTTCAAATTCCCTATTTTTTTTCCCCAGACCGTATAAAAGTTCTGTTCATTCAAAAAAACAGTCATACATTGCTTGACAAAGTGATTTTTAGTTTGAAGGAAATTGGGAGTGTCGGGAATGGCGTTATTACAATGAAAGCTTTCTGCCAGTAGGGCGTGCCAGTGACTCAGTTCAGGATGAACATTTTGTACTGGGGAGCATTAAGAGATTGAGGAAAAGAAACACACGCTTCTTATTTATTTTATTTTATTTTTTAAGTATACCCCGACACCAACTTGCCGATTTAGTTTCCGAAATGTAAAATGAAATAAGCAAAACTAGATCTTGGTGTTCCTTTTCAGGCCAGCAGGTTCTGGGTCTGGTGGAGAACCAGAGTGACTGGTACCTTGGGAACCTGTGGAAGAACCACCGACCGTGGCCTGCCCTGGGTCGAGGCTTCAACACTGGTGAGTTCCAACTTTGCTTTGATTTCCGCTGCAATTGCAGTTTAGATTTTATTGTTCGTAAATGAGCACTTTTAGCTTTACTGATCTTTGACAGTGGACGAGTACATTTTGCCAGTGGACCTTGCTGCTTACTCGTGTGTCTTTTGGGGTTTTTTTGGTCAACTATTTCGGCACACTTGAGACACCCCTGCTAATTTGCGGCCTAAACCCGCCGCCTGTTGATTTCAGCGAGGCGTCTGCGTCGTGCCGAAAATACGCCTTTGCCAATTCACGGACTTCGGGCTATCATCGAAGTGGAGCAACCAACCGCGGGCGGGGGTATTTCCGAAATGCGCTGCATTGATCAGGACAAATCCAATTCTGTTTTCCGTTTTGCACTGCCGTGACTCATTGATGGCACTCGAGAGCCACAAAAAATAAATAAATAGAATGATGTCATGCAATGTAAATCAGCTTGAGCCATTCGCGGGATAAATGTCAGGGTTCAAAACCCAACTCTGAACCTTTTTATCGGAGTAATTGGATGCGTGCTCTCAGCTAATCAGCCTGCGACCATGCGGAATGCTCGTCAATGAGGGGGACGCTAATCAACAAGTCGAGGATTTCCTGGAATTTGATTGGGCTCGTATCCTGGAAACTCGCTCCATCCTCCCAACAACTCTCTCTTTAATGACGTCGCTTTCTGAAAATGAGCCAAAGTTATTTTTCCCGGATGTTTTTTTTTTAATGGGCCTGTTGATTAGCCTCAAAACAACAAAAAAAAAAAAACACTCAATTCCTCATGACTCGTTTCAGTAAAGCGACAATGTTGACTGATGATCATGCCATTAAAAGTCACGCCCACATTAAAAACTTTTTTTTTTAAATTGCATACTGTTCATTAACCCTTTCAAGCACAGCGGCCACAACAGTGGACAGCTTATCATGTTATCAGGTTACATTATCATTCTTTTGCCACTAAAATGCATTTATTTTACACAGGCTAACACTTAAACATCACCGTGTTCGTTCCAAACTTGAATTCCATCTTGGCTCGGGCAGCTCTTGTTAACAAGAAGTGTCACAAAAGCGAGCGACAGCAAAGCGTTCTTGAAAGAGCGTCGGGTGGAACAGAACAACAAAACAAAAAGTGTTTGTTTCGGAAAGCTTTGTAAATAAAAATAGAATGCGGAAGGACTGGTTGAATCTTTAAAAATAAAATAAAATGCATTTCTTTCATTTGAGCATGATGCTGTCTTGGAGTGAACCCGCGCGACGGAATAAAGAGCCGGCGGTTATCTGGAGATCACACCGAACGAATCTTTTTTCCTTCCTTATCTCTTGAGTTTAAAAATGATCACTCTTCGCCGATGTGCTACAATGCATTTACCTCAACGATACGATGGATTAGACCAGGGGCACCTAATTTATTTCAAATCACAAAGGCTTCTCGCGTTATTTTTTTTTTTGGGGAGGTTTGGTTCAACCCGGAATTCTTCACCCCCTTTTTGAATCCACAATTTGTTGAATGAAATCGTTTTCGTTGGGGATTGACGACCCGTTCGGAGAATCGGAATTAAACTGTCCCCCAAAAAAAATAAGTTCCCTGTCCAAAATGATTGATACCCTTGACATATCGTATTTTCCGGATTATAAATCGCACCACGAGTGTAAATCGCACCAGCCATAAAATGCATAATAAAGAAGAAAAAAATGTACTTGCTAAAATGCAACACCAAGAACAAACATGTCATCTTGAAAGGCAATTTAAAATCAAAATAAAATAGAACAAGAGGCGGAATAAGTGTACGATATGCTAACGTGACATGACGCATCAACACCGACCTGGGAATGTCCCTGGTATGTTCACGGAACATTTTAAGAGTTATTCCGATAACTATAGCATAAAAAGCATGCTAACAAGTTTAGCAAACCATCAGTGTCACTCCAAATCACTAAATCCGATTAAATCTTCATCCTTTCCGTGTCACTTTTTAAACAACTGGGCCAACTCCGGAGATAGAAGATGCGGCGCTTCCTCTTCTCCGTCGCTTACGTCAGACACATCGTCGACTTATCAATACAGGCCTAGCGCGCCCTCTTGTGGTTTAGTGTGAAAATAACGTGAAATGAGATAATAATGCGTTCATATTTTCACACAAGTCACGCCAGAGTATAAGTCGCACCCCTGGCCAAGCTATGAAAAAAAAAATGCGACTTATAGTCCGGAAAATACGGTATCTTTGGCGTATAGTCGAAATGATCCGTTCTCCAAGTTTTTCTACCAAATGCCGCTTCAAACGATTCTTAGCTTTGTTAAAACTGCTCTTCGGGATTAAATGCAAATGGATTGACTGAAAAAGCGAAATGTGTTTGTCTCCTTTTGAGCAACAATGCTGCGGTTGAACCAGCGTCCTTTCACGGTCGCTCGTCGTCTTTCCTTCCGATTCGGCGGGTCTTCATGACTGGCTAATCTTTCGATTAACCTTTTCACGTTGTTCAACCCGGTGCCACGGGGGACTGTCGACAGAGCCGGCCCGGGGCGGGGGAGCAGAGCGGCTGTTTAGAAAGCAGAGAAAAGTGACTCAAAAGACTGCGGTCCAGCTGCGGTCGCTCTGCTGCGTGGCTGCGGCCATAGCAACAGATGGAGCGCAGCGGGACGCGAAGAATGCTTGGTTTGCGCCAAACTTACACCCACCCCTAAAATCGGATGTCTAATTTTATTTGTAGCTGCCAGTATGCGTTATTTACCTGAGATATGAATCTCTCTGTTTCCTAAGATGCCATATCAAGGTGTCGCGTGTGTACTTTTCAGGGGTGATTTTGCTGCTGCTCGATCGACTGCGAAAGCTGCGATGGGAGCAGATGTGGAGGCTGACTGCCGAGCGGGAATTAATGAGCATGCTGTCGACTTCGCTGGCGGACCAGGTAAAGCGCAAAGCAGCCACGCTTCACTTTACATTCCGGGTACGGTGGTGTCACTTTCCAAGTTGGGCGCAATCTGTTGGGTGAGGCTTGGTTGACTTCCAAGTTGTGTTTTCCATCGGACTTTTAAATCAAATGCAATATAGCCTGAATTCCAGCTGCTATTCTCAAAGCTCTAACTAATAAATTTCTAGTCTACTTAACCAACAATATCACTTTCACAAAAGCTCCAATCAAATCTTGACTACTTAATGTATGACACGATAAGGCGCTTCGGAGTATAATGCACACCTTCAATAAATGGCCTACTTTAAAACAGTTTTCATATATAGGGCGCACCGCATTATAAGGCGCATAGCTACAATAGCGGCTGGGGTACGTTATGCATCCACTAGATGGAGCTACGCTAAAGGGAATACAATACAATACAGCTTTATTGATATCACGCTTTCACAACCGTTGCAGCTGTAACAAAGCGCTTTACAGAACATTTTGAAATTCCACGTCCAAGAGATCCGAATATTGATCCATACATAAGGCGCATCGGATTATAAGGCGCACTGTCGGCTTTTGAGCAAAATGGAATGCTTTTAGGTGCGCCTTGTCGTGCGGAAAATTCGGTAAGTTACATGAAGGCTAGTTCAACTACGACTTATATTAACACTTTTTAAAATTTTTTTTTACTTTTGAGCCATACATTTCCAGAAATTATTGTTTCATCTCTGACCGGTACCACGTTTGGTGTGTGTGTGTGTGTGTGTGTGTGTGTGTGTGTGTGTGCCTTCGACTATAATTGACCCCCCCAAAAAAAGGAAATGACCTTTTGAGTCACGGCAGCATGAAAATGTGTTAATTACTTCTTACTTGTGAAGTTCGCCGACCTCCACCACTCGTGCAGCAATGCCAATGCAGCAAACTCCCCCCACCCCTCCCTCCACCCAACCCCTGTAATTTGTCAGAATAAAATAGCCTTGAACTTTTCCGACAAGTCCATGTAATATTTGCTCCTGCTCGTCTGCTTCTTTTGTATGCGCCTCGCTCGGAGACGGCTTTCCTTTACAGTACATGATGAAAAATGAGCACGAAAAGGATTTTTTTTGTGGTGTGACATTTGGCTGAGCGAAAAGTCGGCTCTGCCAGACGGATTTAACATTCCATTTAACAACGGTTTGAACAGTCGAAGACGCGAGCCGTATTGGACGATTACTGGAGTGGGGCCAAAACGTGCTGGGCGGCTTCCTCGCGACATCTGGCCAACAGTCGTGACGTGTTGCCACATTGTGACAACTTCCCCACTTCGTGTCAGTGCCGCGGCGCGGTTTACCAGAGTCGAACCTGGTCGAGCTAAAAAGGCCGCGTGGGCAGCAAACGGTGCGACATCATGCAAGCAAGGACACAATGCTACTAAATACGTCATCTTTTTGACTTGCTTCCATTGAATTCATTTTTTGGGACACTGGGAGACCTCATGGCCTTGTATAAAGCTACCTGTAGTTGTTTTAAGGGCAGAGGCTTAATTTAAAAATTTTACACCATGTACTTCCTCCCTTAAAAAAAATTACCATTCGCACCATCGTCATGGCCAAAATGAAAATACGATAGGACTGAGTGCTCATCAAAAATGAGACGGAGGTTTTATCCCTCCAAAGTACGTTTAATATTATTGTAAACCTTTGTTCCGCGATGTTTGAAGATTCAAGCCGTGTGCACACGGCAGCTATCTGCTGAGCAAAAAAGTCACCGGGGAGCGTTTGTTCAGCGGGTAGCTTGCCGCGCGGCGCATAATTGCCGATGAGTTTTCTGCCTCGCCGAGGCTTTCAGACGAATTATCGAACACGTTTGATATGATTCGCCACGCGAGGTGGAAAAACTCGCCGCGTGCGTTTCCCCCCTTAAGCTAACATGGTGACGTCAGAAATGTAGGTTGGGCCGATCAAAACACAACACTCGGTTGACATGGGCAAAAAAAAAAAAAAAAATCTGTACTCGATGTAACATTTTGCACATTTCAGAATTCAGCAATTCTGCTGGATACCAGCAGAGGGAGCCTTCAGAGCGCACTGGCAAAATGAAATAAATCAGACCTTGATCGCTTCTTTTAAGCCATTATCGCCTGCAAGCGTCTGAAACGAGGCATCGCTGTCACGGTAAACGCGGCCCATTGAGCATTTATGCCCCCGCCCCACTCACCGGCCTGCAGCCACGCAGCGCCGTCCCATGATGCATACATTGCCAGGGCAGTTCACCGAGACCTTGGCCAAGGATCTCCCCCCCCATTCATCCGCGAGCCATCCAGCGCTCATCTCGATGAGTGGTACGTTTTATGCGATTTTAATTAAACCTTCATTAAGTCGAGTCCCGCAAGGTATGCAGTTTGCAAAATGAACCGGAGGGGGGGAGTGGGGGCGGGGCTTCCGGAATCGTTTCAGTATTCCATCTGCCTTCCCCACTGTATGAGCTACCGCGATAGTCTGTCAAGCCGTCTTTATCGCGCCATTTATTCCGCGGTCATTGAGCTTTTATGTCTCCCATTAGACGCTTGCGGTGGCTGTCACCGACTGTTGCCATGTCAACCGGAAGATCTTAAGCATCTCTCTTGACTTGGTGTTTCATTGCGCATCAAGTTTGTGGACGACACAAGAAAAAAAACTTCAGCATTTCGAGTCCTGTAATTGTTCACGTATCAAAATATAATTTATTATTATTATTTTTTTTTTAATCTAAACTTGGCTACACCACATTGAACACTTTTTTTACGATTCAAAGAAAAGATGGCGATGTATGAACCCACGACATGAGACGCGGCTAAATTATTCACACGCGCCGGAATTGAAAATGCTTTGGAAAATCTTCGGGGATGGGATTTTAATAAATATTTGTGCCTCGGGGCTGAACTTGAATCATTCTATACGTGAACTTGCAAACATATGTTACCATTGGGTCTCAGATGCATTGCCTCTTGTCGTTTTGTTGCCCGAGGAAATAAATAACTCATCTGGATGTGATCAATATGAGCTCCGCATGCACTAATTAAGGCAAAATGAAGCGCGCGTGGTGACTAAACATTGGACTTGCTTGACATTCAGTGCACAATCCTTTCATGTTCTTGTTTGAAAATTGGCAACGTTTGCTTGGTCTGGGTCGCATCTTTGCAAAATTTGACGAGGGCTCCCCCTGCTGGAATTTTGTTATTATCGTCATGAATACAGTACATACAAAGTTGTGATATTTAGGCCCATTTATACAAGAAAAAAAAATGAAAATATATTAACGGGGTCAAGACTCCTCTCATCATTCTTTTTTTTTTTTTTAATTTGTGAATTGGTAGAGACAAACTGTTCCCTCCAAAGCTGAAGCCTATAATTGTCCAAAATGTCTTTTCGAATTAAAAGCCAGCAGCCCCGCCCCCTCGTGTCGTTATCATTAATCTCGACGGACTGCAAGGTCAGGTTAGCCTTTGTAAAAATGCGTGTTGTTATGGGGGGTGGACATCAATATTCAAGTGCGGGGGTTTGTCTGTGTGTGTGTGTGTGTGTGCAGGATATCTTCAATGCTGTGATCAAACAGAACCCGTTCCTGGTTCACCAGCTGCCCTGCTTCTGGAACGTCCAGCTGTCTGACCACACCCGGTCCGAGAAGTGCTACAAAGACGTGTCGGACCTCAAGGTGCCAAAAAAAAAAAAGCCGTCGGAAGGAGCGCCGCAGCCGCATGCCGTCACACGTTTTTATCCGGTTCGAAATAGCCTCGCCCGGAAGTCACCCAGTTGCCACAGCTGATCAATCGGCGTTTCATATTAGTTCCCACGTTATGAAGCCGCACGGATCGAACTTCAAGATCGACCGTGCCCTCGAAGCTCAGAGTGGCGCTAAACGTTAATCATGCCTCGAGGCGTGAATGAGGTCAAACTCCAAATGAGTCAATAGTTGGATGAAAGTGTCTTCATCCGTCAAAAAAAAAAAAAAAAAAGAATCACAAAGCAGTGGCTTGATCTAATTTGCTGTATGTATTTTTCAAATTTTTTTTTTTTATTTATTTGTATTTTTTTTTATCCCATTTAAATATCCTATAAAACCGCCTAACGAGCTTTTTTTTTTTTCTTTTTCCTTCTCGTCTCACCAGGTCATCCACTGGAACTCCCCGAAGAAGCTCCGCGTCAAGAACAAGCACGTGGAATTCTTCCGTAATCTCTACCTAACCTTCCTGGAGTACGACGGCAACCTGCTGCGCCGCGAGCTGTTTGGCTGTCCCAGCGAGGCCGATCACAACAGCGAGAACGTGAGAGTGGAGCCCGCCAACCGCCGGCTTGAGTGAATTCATGAATGTCTTAGTGGGGAAAAAAAGCGGGGGGAAACTGGGTCACTATTTAGTACGTGTCATGTTTTTATGCATAAGCCGCCTCTCGATTTGGTGTTTTGTGACACTCGGGGGGGCTTTGTTGGTTATGAGGACGGTTGATTAGGGACTCAACACGGAGCCGTAATCATCTCCTTTGTATGGGGGTCATGCTCCCTTGTCACCCTGACAATCTCATATTCATCAGTTGAGGGGAGTAGCCCCCCCACACCCCAATAGTGTGTGTATTTATTTGTTCATTTTTCTTGCAGCTCCAGAAGACGCTCTCCGAGCTGGACGAAGACGACCCGTGCTACGAGTTCCGCCGCGAGCGATTCACCGTCCACCGAACGCATCTCTACTTCCTGCATTACGAGTATGACGTCACCCCCGACAACGCGGACGTCACGCTGGTGGCGCAGCTCTCCATGGACAGGTGACGTTTCACACACACACACACACACACACACACACACACACACACACACACACACACACACCGCCTGCAACAGATATCGTGGTCTTCTAAATGTGTGACGCACTCAATTCAAAATAAAATAGCAGTTGTTGTACTTAGTGCCCTCTGGTGGCATGTGCAGGAATTGCCGTTTCAGTCCAAAAGTTAAGACTCGACTCCAGATTGACATTTGCATTTAATTAAAGTGTTTTTTTTTTTCTCGACAATTTTTAGTTCACGTTTATGTTTGACCCGCTGCTTCAATTGGGCTTTAGACTTCAGATGTTGGAGGCCATCTGCAAGCACTGGGAAGGCCCCATCAGCTTGGCCCTGTACCTGTCCGACGCCGAGGCCCAGCAGTTCCTGCGCTACGCTCAGGGCTCGGAGGTGCTCATGAGCCGTGGGAACGTCGGCTACCACGTCGTCTACAAAGAAGGACAGTTCTACCCGGTCAACCTGTTGCGAAACGTCGCCATGCGGCACGTCAACACGCCTTACATGTTCCTGTCCGACATCGATTTCTTACCCATGTACGGCCTGTACGAGTATCTCAGGTAAGCGGAATGCGTTGGACCGTAACTTAAACGGCCGCTTTTGTCCGTACTTGCTTGTAATTTGTGCCCTTTCGCGCGTTGTTCGCAGGAAGTCGGTCGCGCAACTCGACATGGCCAACACCAAGAAAGCACTGGTGGTGCCAGCGTTTGAGACGCTGCGCTATCGGCTCTCCTACCCGAAATCGAAAGCCGAGCTGCTTTCTCAGCTGGACATGGGAACGCTTTTTACCTTCAGGTAACCATCCGCAAGTCGACTTTGGGCGTCGTCGCAAGGATGCATCGCAATCATCAAATTCTTACCGTGGCTCCAGGTTTTAAAAATACTTGCAGGCGGCTCAATGCCAAACATTTCGATTTCCATTACGGGGAGGAGAGAAGAAATGGAATTTTCACATTTTGTTATTTGTGTGGGTTTTCTACGGGTACTCCGGTTTCCTCCCACATTCCAAGAACATGCACGGCAGGCTAATGGATCACTCTAAATCGTCCCGAGGTGTGAGTGTGAGCGCAGATGGTTGTCTCGTCTCTGTGTGCCCTGCGATTGGCTGGCAACCGGTTCAGGGTGTCCCCCGCCTACTGCCCGGACACAGCTCGGATAGGCTCCAGCATGCCCCGCGACCCTTGTGAGGATAAACGGTTTAAAGAATGGATGGATGGAGCTGACTCCAGCACGCTGACTCAGCAAAAAGTTTTCCTTTTTAGTTTAAAATAACTTGCTTTCATCTCCCGAAGTTCAGAACTCTGGATGTTTTTTTTTTTTTTTTTCTCTCTTTGGTCTCATTTTAAAAACATTCCTGAGGTGTTGTACGAACCCCCCGTCCTAGCTAGCGCAAAGCTAGTTTTTGATGTTATTTTGCTCCTTCCAAGGTACCACGTGTGGACCAAAGGCCACGCGCCCACCAACTTTGCCAAATGGCGGACGGCCACCACCCCTTACAGGGTGGAGTGGGAGGCCGACTTTGAGCCCTACGTCATGGTGAGGCGGGACAGCCCCGAGTACGACCGCCGCTTCGTGGGCTTCGGCTGGAACAAGGTGGCGCACATCATGGAGCTGGACGCGCAGGTAAAGCTGTCGTAGCTAGCTGCGTAAAATATTCGCGATGAAGGGGACATCGGAGCTATTCGTTTGCGGTCTGGAGTGTGAAAGATCTCCACTAACACCACAAAAAGTTCCCTGATTTGTTGCTGGACATTTTTTTAAAAAATTTATATTAACCCTTCCGTGGCCACATTTCTACAACCACCAAACACATTTAAAAATAAATAAATAAATAAATCGTGAGAGAAATAGTTTTTGCGTACGACAGTGACATCCAGCAGCTTTTCTCCCTGGTGGACCGCGACCCGAGCAGCATCAACGCCCGGGATGACGTCACCGGGGACACGCCCATCATCGCCGCGTGCCGCGGTGCCAAGCTGGACGCGGTCACGTTCCTGTTGGAGCGCCACGCGGACGTGCGCGCGCTCAACAAGGTCAGCCGCGGGTTCACTTCACGCCTGCTTCATCTCTTGCTGATATTTGCCTTTCAAAAGCAAACATCCTTGGATCGTTTTTTTTTTTTTACAAAACGCCAGGCAAAAACCACTTCTGCGAGAGAACTTGAACGAAAGGGGGCAAAAAAACGACGAGGATGCAGTTCGAAGTTAAATGGCCAGCATTTTTATTCTTTATTCTTTGTTGTTGTTGTTTTTTTAAACTTACATAATGCTCAACTCTCATTTATTGCGCAATACTCTCATTGTAAGATTTTTTTTTTCTTCATTTCAATGTATTTTTATGCTTTAGGAAACATTTGTGTCTGAATTTTGGGGGGGGCTTGGAACGGATTAGGGCATTTACATGGAAAACGCGTCTCAAAGACATTTCTTCCAGAACCAATTAATTTCGTGAGTAAAGGTACCACTGTAAATTATATTTAACTTACTTTCATAAGATCAATTATATATTTATTTATTTTTTTATTTGTTCATTTATTTATTTGCTTGTTTATTTATTTAGTTATTTATTTTATTTGATTGATTTTGTTTGTTTTTTTTTTACTTTGTGTAAATTCTCAGTCATCCGGGCCACGGTCATCCGCAGAGCTCGAATCGAGGGCCATGTGAATTTCACGACTCTGTATTGACGATTTTTTTTTGGCCCGATCACACACGTGCTCAAGTCATTTCGGAGTGTTTTTCGAAAGCACGTCCTCTCGCTTCCTCCCCCACTGCATGTTTCTCCAGTCCAGGATGTTACCCCCACCTCATCCCTGAAGTCAACAGAGGCTCTCTCGCAGCTCAGCCTCAACACACCTTCTCGAAAATGGACGTCCAGACCTCTCCAGCCACTAATTAAGAGCTTTTGAAACCTTGTTCTTATTTCGCCCTTTTTCTCGCCGCAGGAATACGAATTTGTGGTCCTCCCCAACGCGTACATGATCCACATGCCGCACGCGCCCAGCTTCGACATCACCAAGTTCCGCTCCAACAAACAATACCGGGTCTGCCTCAAGACCCTCAAGGAGGAGTTCCAGCAGAACATGTCGCGGCGCTACGGCTTTGCCGCCCTTAAATACATGACTGCCGAGAACAACAGCTAGCCACCGCGGGGACCCTCGCCAACCCCCCCCCCTCCACCCCCGTCGCTCAAAAATTGAAACAATAGTGCAAATTAAGACAATTACTCTCAATATATAATTTTAAACAAGCAACTGCATTGAATACCCTGGAAGACACGTACTATTAAAATTCATTCATTTGATTAAAACTAACCACTGCCTGGCCCGGGAATGACTGGACTGACTCGGTAAGCGAATGAAGCGGGGTGGGGGCGCGAGGGTACGAGGCCCTGGGGGAGGTCAGTGGACCTGACTGGGACCTTCGTGAAGAACTTTGAGCTTAAGTGTCGGCGCGTACGTATCGGAGCTTTCGCGGCGTATGCATGTGTGCGAATGTACACGCGGGGTGCGCGCGCGTGGCGGTGCGGGGGAGTCAAGGAAGCGGGCAGCCTTGCATCCGTTCAGTTTGCACACCGCGGGCACCGTCCAAGCATTTTTTTTTTTTTTTTTTTTCCTCCTGGAAGCTGACATCATCATCATCATCATCATCATCATCATCACGGCGGTGAGACAAATCGGTCAGGATTGAGATGAGTCAAGCGAGCGGCCAATCAGCTGC